GGGCCGAGGTCCCTCCCCCGTCCCTCCCCGCTCTCTCAGCCCGCGGACGGGGGTTATTGAACGCTTTCCGCCGCCCCGTTTGTTGCAACTTGCGAAGGGTCGGGGGTCCCTTTTGTCAGAGCCAAAATCGCTGATGGAGTTAGGGGGGGCTGCGCTGCCCTGGGATCACCCGCGGTGCAGCGCGGCTGGGGTCTCCCCTGCCCTGTCCCTAGATGAGACTCCCCCCAGCTCCAGCCGGGATGGAGGACCCCCATGGCTTGGATCCAGAAGAGTCTCAAGACCCAAGCCCCCTCCCATGTAGAGGGGCATAAATCCAAAGGGAAAGGAAAAATCTGATTTATCGCGACACGGGGATGCTCGGAGCAGCGAGGTGCTGGGGTGCTGGGGACGAGTGTTCCAGCGCCGTGGCTGTGCAGCGCATCCTGGTCCGATCCTGGTCCCACGGCACCGGGAAGTTTGGGCCACAGTAGGAACATGGGGCGTTTCCAGCTGGTGCATTCTCTAGCTGGGATCTCTGCTATGGAAAAAACCCTGCAACAGGCTTTCCCGGCATCCCGGGAGGATGCTTCCCACTGGGATTTGGTGTCTGGGATGGCATCAGGCGCTGGAGGGTGCTCAGTGCAGCTCCTCCATAAGTGATGGGATGGAGCGGTGTCCCCACCCGAAATGTGCCCCACTGGGTTGTTCTGCCTGCAGTGCTCCGGGATGGGGGGGGTCTTGGGGCCCACCTCAGCGTAGGGCTGGATCAATGGTTGGACTCAATTATCTTTAAGGTTTTTTTCCAGCCAAAACCATGATTGATCCAGGCCCCTGCATGGGCAGCACTGCTCTGTGCCACCGGTCCCTGCAGGGAGCAGTTGCATTTTAGGCTCTAGGACTGTGCTTACAGGGTTGGTGGCCACCACGTTTGCCACCCACCCTGGGGTACCCCCATCATCCCCATCCCGGCAGCTGGGGAGATGCTGGAAAATCCTTTTTGCTCCTGCAAACGCCACGTCTGGCAGGGAGACCAGAGAAATCACTGCCATTGATTTTATTTCCCTTGTCTGCCTCAACCTGCCGCCTCGGAGGAGATTTGTGTCCCCCGGCCATGGGTGGTCGGTGGGCGCGGAGGCAGGCTGGCATCTAGCGACTGGCGCCGGTAATACAGAGCGGCCCCGGGCTACTGGCCAGTCCTGGCCTGGGGTGGTCCCCGGGTGATGGAGCATGTTTTGGGTGGCTCTGGTAGGGTCACTGGGTGTTTTGGGAGCTCAGTTTGGGATGTGTTTGGTGTGGACCTTCTTGGGCAGCTGCTAGGGGCTCTCTGAGCATCTTCCTGCTGCGCCGTGGCCCCTTGGCGAAGCAGATCTGGAAACGCTCATCTTAAAAGCCACATTGCATCTCATCCTCTCCCAGAAAAGGCTGCAGGAGCGTGTCCAGCCAGGCCAGTGGCTTTGCCCCAGCCCCAGGCAGCAGCGATGCTGAAAAAAGGGCCAAACCAGAGCCAGCATCTGCTGCCTGCAGAGAGTGAGGGCTTCCCGAGGCAGCTAGGATCTTTCCCAGAAGCTGCCCTCCGGGAGTGGTTTTCACCCATTAATTTCTCTAATTGCTTTTGGACAGCACGGTGGCAGTTGTTGGCAGTGGCAGCATCACAGTGAGGTGTTGAGCCAGGCTGAGGCGAGCGCTGTGCCTTGGGGGAGGCTTGCGTGGACCCCCTTCCCCGGTCACCACTCACCCCTCCAAATCCAAACTCCTGCCCAGAGAGGCCAAGGGACCCCACTAAGCATCTTTCCAGGTGGAAAAAAACACAAGAGCTGCAGCTGTATGATGGGGTGATGAAGGCTCAGGACCAGCCCCGTGCCGCCCATCCTTTGTGTCACCCAGGGGGATGCCAGGAGTTGTGTCCCAAGAGTGTCACAGTTCTCCTTCCTCCCAGGTTGGCCACCATGGGGTCGGTGGGAGCCGCCGAGCGCTTCAAGGAGCTGAGCCCAGTGGGGACGCCTGAGGGAAACGTGGTGATGAGCTTCAGCTTCGACAGCTACCAGCTGGAGGAGGACGAGCTGCAGCGGGGCAGCCAGGCCAAGGGTGTCCTCACCTTCATGGAGCCGGGTGAGGGCCCCAGCGCAGACAGGAGCCAGGTTCCCTGATGGCTTCCTTCCATTTAGGAGCTTCCTGGGATGGGTTTCATAGCCACAAATGGCCTGAAATGCTGTAAAATTGCCCAATGCCGTATTTTTTTTTTTTGGTCTTGTTTGTACTTCCTGAAACACCTTTGTTTAAGGAAGGAGTTTCTTGGGACTATTTATTGGTGAGAACTGTGGGGCGCTGGGCTGCTTACTGGTGGTGGGATGGTTTGAACCATTGCTGTCCTCATTTCCCATAAAGGATGTGGAAGCACCATGTGAAGCCCCATGGCTTCAGGTGCCATGGGTGTAGCAATGCCACTGTCACATCTTTTTTCTTTTTCTTTTCCCCTTTTGGGGCAGCTACTGAGGATCCCGAGCCCCAGGATCGCTACCATGGGATTTACTTCGCCATGCTGCTGGCCGGGGTGGGATTTCTTCTGCCATACAACAGCTTTATCACCGACGTGGACTACCTGCACCACAAATACCCAGGTAGGTCTCCAGCAGCTGCAGCACTTCCCAGTCACCCCAAACCTGGGGAGAGCTCAGCCCCCATCATCCCCCCCTTCACCTGCCTCTCCGCAGGGACCTCCATCGTCTTTGACATGAGCCTCACCTACATCCTGGTGGCCTTGGTGGCCGTCATCCTCAACAACGCGCTGGTGGAGCTGCTGAGCCTGCACACCCGCATCTCTGTGGGTGAGTTGGGGTCCCCACAGCCCCCCGGCAGCACCATCCTCATGTTGTTCCCCCACTGCCCACCTCCATCTCCCACCCGCAGGCTATCTCTTTGCCCTGGGACCCCTGCTCTTTGTCAGCATCTGCGACGTCTGGCTGGAGCTCTTCACCCGCCGGCAGGCCTACGCCATCAACCTGGTGGCCGTCGGGGTGGTGGCCTTTGGCTGCACAGGTATGTGGGGCAGGGGCTGGCCCTGGGGCAAGCACAGCCCTTCAGATAGGGGTGGGAAGGCAGCCCCCTCCCCAAAAGCTGTCAGCTCCTGGGACAACCTTTTGCCCTGAACTAAGCTAACCTTACGTCCCTGCTCCATCCCCTTCACCTCCATCCGGGGCCACCATGATGGCTTTGATATGTGGCCCACTATGGTGGCTTTCCAAGCCCGTGGGTGCTACTCTTTGGTGGGAACAGCCATAGTTGGGGCAACCAGGGAGGGCAAAAAAGCCCACCCAGTTTTGGGACAAGGATGCTTTGGGCCTGTGGCTGTTCAAGAAGGATGCAGCTCCAGGAGGGGCACAGTACATGGGGTCCCATGGGGTTTCTTCCCCCTGCCCGGAGTTTTGGCTGCAGCAATAACCCCTCCTTCTCCCCTCGGCGCCTCTGAAGTGCAGCAATCCAGCTTCTACGGCTACACGGGGCTGCTGCCCAAGCGCTACACGCAGGGGGTGATGACGGGAGAGAGTAAGTACCCGCGGCCGCGTCCAAACACAGTGAGGGGGGTACCCTCCTGTCCCTTCTCCTGGGGCCCCAGTGAGTCACACCTGCGGTTGGCAGCAGATGAGGGACTCCCCAGGGTGCTCCCCAGCAAACCGGGGTGTGTAATGGGTTCTCAACCACTTGCAAGCCCCACTGCATGTCACAACAAGCTGGGGTGGGGGTGTCTGGCTCCACTGCCCCCCCCCCAGAAAAAAAACCCATCACTGCTTGTGGCTACTCTACACCTGGAGGTATCACCTCCATCTGGCGAGGGGGTGCTGGGGGTCCCCAAGGCGCAGGGTTAGGTGCCAGCAGCTCTCCCGTGCCACCAGGCACCGCCGGAGTCATCATCTCGCTCAGCCGCATCTTCACCAAGCTGCTGCTGTCGGACGAGAAGGAGAACACGGTCATCTTCTTCTTCATCTCCATCGGCATGGAGCTGACGTGCTTCATCCTCCACCTCCTGGTAAA